AAAGATTTAATCAATCCCTAATTGAGAGAGATTCTAGGAGTAATTGAGAGAGATCCTAGGAGTTTGTCTCTCCTATCTTTTTCTATTTAAGTTGTATGYTCAACATGTTTTTTCAACACATTATCAGTACAGAAGTATTTCTTCTTCTCTCCCTCTTCATTTCTTCTTCTCTTCCTCTTTATTTTTCCACAGCTACAATCAGCTATAGCTTTTCCCAAAATAGAGCTATCAGCTCCCTGTTTTTCTTGAGCATATGCCAATTCATTTGCTGTCTTTTTAACCCAACCAAATTAAGAGTTAAAGCTCTTTGTAAGAAGATCGATCTCCCTGAATGCAAATCTATATTTCCAGGGTGCTGAGTTTATTTGCATAGCCCACGAAATGACCAAGACTGAGTCCCCTTCTACCTCCAACTCACTAGTTTCTAAGTGTACTGCTAATTTCAAGCCCTGTAAAAGTGGCATAATTTTTGCCTGAACCAAGTCTCTATAACCAATTGGTCATGAGAACAAAGCCACAACTTCTCCATGATGATTTCTAAAGGCTCTCCCTGTACCTGCCATCCCCAGATTTCTAAAAGAGCTGCCATCAAAGTTCATCTTCAGTTTATTTGGCTTTGAAGGTTTCCATCCCATCTTGATAATTTCTATATGTGTATCCAATTGTGCAGCTTCCTTCCATTTCCTTATTATGTCATTTGTTGAGACATCTTCCTTTCCCTTGACACCCGAGTGTGGACCCTCCACCCAAATGGCGAATTTTCTTCTAAGTCTCTGTTCAAGGCTCTAACAACAGGTGAGCAAAGCTTCTCTTTCCCCTATAAGAAAATCTGGTGCAGTCACATTCCTTCAAGAGTCTGCTTCTGTGTATGGGAAGTGTGTCTATAGAGAATAAACACCTGTGATTTCCTTTAGAAGAAGAGCTTGGGAAGACTTTATATTTCTCCTCATGCTTGTTGATTATGTCTGCAAGATGGTGAAACAGTTGATCACCTACTTATACATTGTAAGTTCACTTAAAGGGCCTGGTTTCACTTCTTAAGTCTGATTGGTATCATTGGGTTAACCCAGAGCACATTTTTTCTTGAAGAATCAATAAAAAATTCATTAAAAGAAAAAGATTACATCCTAACACCCTTGGTTGTCTAGATGACACACCAAATACATTCTCAAAGCTTTAATGAAAAGGATTCTGCATTACAAGGCTATACATCAAGGAAATTCTAGAAAATTTCAAACAAACTGGCTTTGGAGAATTGATCAAATTGCTCATTCCTGCTATCAGATATTCAATGCTCCACGCATTCTCCTCCCTCCTTCCTTCTCTCATACCCCTCACAATCCAACTACGAAACCTCATCTTCCTCCTCTCCCTGTCTTCCTACCAACCCCAAGATCACTCAATCTCGTCCAGTCCCTCCTGGCCTCCTCTTCTCCCCCTTCCTCGTCCCACCCCTTGATTTTTTCTAAGTATTTTTCCTTTTCCTTTTCCTTTTTCTTTTTCTCTTCTTTTTTCTTTTTTTGTTCAAACTTCTCAAATGCTATTTTCGTGAAACCTTTTCCCTCCCCAAAAAACAAAACCGAGTGACTTTCCTATCTCAACCTCCCTCTCCACCAATTTATTGATATTCACTTTACCATTTTGTATTAATTCCTTGACTTCTTGGTCCTTTTGAATCTGTTCTTCTCTCTCTCTCTCTATTTCTGTCCCTATTCTTTGAAACTTCTCCTTGTTTTTCTTCTTCTGGTCTCTGCTGTGTGCCTTGAGTTTTACTGCCTGTATCAACTTCTAAATCATTTGAAGCATTGCTTTTGATCAGACATTTCTGAGATCTAGAGTTTGCCTTAGGTCCTTTCCTTTTGTAAATTCTCTTAAATATGCCGCATGGACCATTCCCGACCAATCCTTCCTTGAGACGATGAAAAACCTTGGTTACATGAACAAGCTGAATTAGTTTGTCCCGGGTTGGCTACGACTCTTTTCCTACCCAATTCCATCTCTAGCTTTCGAATCAAAGAAGCCCACGCTTCTTCTTTGCCCATCCATACCTTTAGCTTTTTTGTCACTCATTACCTTCCCTGTTATCTGCACCATCTCCCTATTATTAACTCCGCATGAGAACACCTTTCTCTTTGATGAATTTCCTTCCTTATCACAATTTTCTTCCAGTTCAGCTCTTACCACCACTCCATCATCACCCTCCTCAATCCCATCTGAAAATTTAAGAATTTCTTTCTCAGAGTTAACGATTGAATCCTCGACACCCACTCTTTCTTGTGATGCCATCGAGCCTGGTTCTTCAAGGTCATATCCAACCACAAGGGGGGTCAGATCTGTAGCCATGGGATTGGAAGAACCAAGAATCCCTTATTTCCTGAAAAGAAAGTCCTACATTGCCATTCATGGGAGAAGGAGTGAGTTCGATGCAAACCCCTTGAGTTCCACCTACAATCCTCTTCCTACCATTTTTGTCATATGTAGTGACCACCCAGGCCCATCTTTCTCTGTCTTGGTCGGAATCCTTCTTCTCTTCCTATTGTTCCACTCCTTCTAAACTTTGGTCCGATAAGCCCATGGAACTTTTTCTCGCCAACTACCTTTCTCCTGAACTGATTCACCTTCCTGCCATTGTTCTCTTTGGCGTTGCATCCTTGATACATCAGTGGTAAGGTTCTGGATTAAGCAAAAGAGGCAAAGTTAGGGTTGTCAACGGGTCAGAACCAGGTAGAACCAGTCCCGGAACCAATAGAAGAACTCGTGGACCTGGAACCAACACAGACCCTATAGGGTCTGTAATTCTGGACCCAGAACCGAACCGATCAGTTCTTGGGACAATTGGGTCCAACCCGATGGACCCGATTTTGATATGTATACTAATAATACCCTTGCTGAAAAATGCAATAAAACCCCTGTAAAAACCTAAAATACAATGAAAACCCTGCTAAAAAAAACTGCTAAAAAGGAAACTGGTAAAAAACAATAATAACTGTATTGATGTACAGTGTGTGTGTGTGTGTGTATATATATTAGGGGTTGGGTTGGGTCTAAACCAGTTTGGGACAAGGTGGACCCACTTCCGACCAGATGGTAATTGTGATTTTTTTTAAAGAACCGGAACCGACCCATCAGGACAAGTTCTGAAACCAGAACCACCCCAATTGGTCTGGTTCTGACCCGACCAATTGACAGCCCTAGGCAAAGTCTACTGGCAAACAGTGTTACATGCAGTAATGTGGGGAGTTTGGGAAGACAGAAACAAGCACTTGTTTGAAAACAAGCCCAGACCATTCATCAAAAAAAAAAAAAAAACTCAGACCTCTTGAAGTGTTAATATCATATATCGCCTATCTATGTAATCTCTGGGCTGCTAATTTGGAGCTGTTCCAAGGTCTCTCAATCAATGACCTTAACAGAAATATTCATACTATTCTGTTTCTTCTACGTGAGGAGGGATGGTTTTATACTTTGATGGTAGTGCTGCAGGCAGTCGAGGTTTTCCTGGAATTGGGGGTATCTTGAGGGAAGAAAGAGGTAATATTTGCTGGGTTTTCAGTGGTCCAATTGGATTTACTGACTCCACTAAGGGTGAACTGTTGGCTGTTCTTACTGGAATCAGAATAGTAAAAAGCTTTTTTTTTTTGTGAGAATGTAAGGTATAAATTTATTGAGAAAACTAAAAAACAGTATAACAAGCTGCTATACAAAAAAGGGGGGCGGGATGCACAGCCAATGCCTATACGACCCTAAATCCCCACCCTCTGCTTATAAAAATATTATCATATACAAGAAGGGAATTCAGATTTCTTTCCCTTCAGAGTTTGTTCATAGTTAGCTATCTATTGGGTATTCAGAACCTATCTATTGTAGGAGATTCAGCAAACACCACTAAATGTCCAAGGGATAAGGAAGGGGGTTTTTGGAGGTTGAGCTATTATTGGCAGAGGCAAGGGATTCCTTGGAATGTTTAAACGCAAACCTGTTTTGGATCCCGAGGGAGCTATAACTATTGTAGATGGCTTAGCTAAACTGGGTGCTTACTTAGAAAATCTGTATAGAGATAGGCTTCCTCTTTTGTAAGTTCTTGTTTTATACATCCTCTCATGTACTCCTTTTAATGGAATTCGGTTCAATTTCCCTAAAAAAAACAGCTATCTATAATGACGATTGAGGTCTTTAACGTTAGGATGTGTTGAACCCAAACCCATTAATGATGAACAAGTGTCAGAAACCATTCTTCCAAGACTTCTTTCTTTTCCTTCAAATGTTACTCTATTCCTAATGTCCTTTCCTTCCTAAGAACCCAACAAACTGCAATAGGGACCATTCACAAAATAATTGCCTTTTTACCTGCTTCAATCTTTTGTTCGCATTGCCATACCTTGTAAACAAGATCAGAATGAGATGCATGTTATAGAATTTGCATTCTTCCCATCCAAGGTGTTCTTATCTATTGCTTTGCTGACTGAATTATCCATATGTTATGGCTGTACATATTTCTGGGTCTCTGGGAAGTATGGCTGTCTCAAAACAGAAAACTACTTACCTAGTTGAATTATTCATGGGCATGCTTGGGAATATATTGCTTGGTCTTTTGGAAGTATGGTTGTCTCAATAAGAAATCATATACGTGATTGAATTATTTGTGTGTAATGGGCATGTTCTGGGACATATTTCTGGGTCTCTAGGAAGCATGGTTCACTAAAGCAGAATATCATGTGTAATAGAGTCATGCTCAAGTAAATTAAAGTTTTATATCCATCATTAAAGAAACATATTCTTTGTTTTCTACACTTTTTTTTTGAGAAGATCATGTAATTTTCTTTAACAATAACAACAAAAAATTAAAATCATCAAAAAAAAAAATGCTAACAACACAGAATTAAGGAACGAGCAGGAGAGGTTGGCATGCTACTTAAAATAAAACTCTGGATCTAGTCAAAGAATGTTGCAATAGCATTGCTGTTTTTGGTGGTTAACTTTAAAAAGATGTGTGAATGTAGGTTCATCTACGCTCTGCCAAGAGGATTTTGAAATTATGTGAATCCAATAAAGGTTTCTATGTCAAAGCCGGTCAGTTTGTTGCAGCCTTGCGACATGTTCCAAAGGAGTACACATTAACTCTCTCCACTTTGCAGGACCAGGTATTTATTTGCTTTTCATGCATATGCGGACATTATCATTTGCAATAACTATTTGTGTAGATGAAAGTTAGTGGTCTCCTGATGAATTATTTTGCTACTTTGTTCTTTTTGATGCCTTAGGCAGTTCCCTGTCATTTTAAAGCCATTAAAGAAGTACTAGTTAACAATCTGGGACTGGATTTGTCTGAAATGTGAGTTTTCTTTACAGTAGCATTTTTTTTTATCAGAAAAAGAGAATTTAGTTATTTATTAATCTGAGATATAGATTACAGTTTCTTTATCTACTCTGCGCTCAAGAGTATTACAACATACAAAGAAATCCAGATTATGTAGATCAACATCCCACTGTTGTTTTACAGCTAGAGCTATAGTTTAGCCCAAAATAGAGTAGGTCTATCAACTCCCTGTTTTGCTAGAGTATCTGCCAGTCCATTCGCTGTCCTTTTAACCCATCTGAAAATAGAGTTAAATCTCTTAGCAAGAGAGTCAATCTCCCTGAAGGCAAATATGTACTTCCATGGTGCTGAGTTTACTTGCTTAGCCCAAGCAATGACCAGAAGTGATTCCCCCTCCACTTCCAATTCTCTAGCTTCTAATTGTTCTGCTAATTTCATGCCTTGTATGAGTGCCATTGTCTCTGCCTGAACCACATCTCCATACCCAATTGGTCATTTGGTCCTAAGAACAAAGCTACAGCTTTCTCATTGTAATTTTGAAATACTCCCCCTATTCCTACTCTCCCAGGGTTTCCAAGGGAGCTGCCATCAAAATTCACCTTCAAGTTATGTGGTTCTGGAGGTTTCCAATCCATCTTAGTAATCTCTTTATGTGTTCCCATCTGTGTTACTTCCTTCCATTTCCTCATTATATCATTTATTGAGATATCTTTGTATATGTCAATGGTTTTTACCCAGTATGCAGAGCTGATTTTAATTGTTTCAATTACTTCCTCTTTAGATCTGCTCTTGTCATTGAAAATCCTTTGGTTTCTTTCTTCCCAGATGGTCCAAACTACAGCTGCTCTTGTTACCTTCCATAAGCATTTCGCCCTTTTCTTCTGTAGCCATATAGAATTAGTATTGAATAAGTTAACCACATCTTGTGGGGTTCTCATCTACAACCAAAGAGTGAAGAAAATTAATCCCAAATGCAAGACACCAAAGAGCATGAGATTAGTAAATGAGGTAGGGTCTCACCACTAGCCAAACAGAGGATATAAACATGAGGAGATAGGCACTTAACTGGCCTTTACAGTAGCATTTTTATTTCTCAAAAAATCCATTGATATTTACCTGCAACATTCTTCTGCATGGTTTTTTCATTTTCAAATAGTCTTCTTGCTTTCTGTACATGGTCTCGTCTTGTACATGCTTGCCAAAGACCCTCCCGTAGCAGAGACACAGGATCAAACCTGTGGTATGGGTCTCATGTGCACCCTGCTCTGTCCTTGCTCGACTATTAAGATACCAAAAAAAAAATCTTATACATGGTTTTGCACTCAATGAAATACAATATCTACTACTTTAAAGAAGTACTTTATTTCTGCAATTATCAATGCCTTGTTTATTTATACTCAATTGTTTTATTTCCCAATTGAAAAGCAAAATCTAGGCCTTGTGAAACACATTTTTTTTTATGGAGTTTGGAGGCAATTATTTTTCTGTGGCCCTTCACTCTTTAAAGAGCCATGCAATATTTTTTGTACAACTTTGCTCTGTCGTTTTCTAACTGATGATGTAGATTTTTTATGGGCAGAACTCTTGTCACTACTATTTGGTCTAAAGCTTGCAAGTTCTCTAGACTTTACAGACAGTTTAGTGGGAGGTGACTCATGCATTATTGTGGAATGTCTAAGACATAATCCAGCACTATGGACTATGGAGATATAGGAAATGGTAAGGGAGGATGCAAATGAAGGACCCAAGGGCTAATGTTGGGTGGACTCCTAGTGAAGGGAATGACATGGCTGATACACTAACCAAACAAGGTGTGAATAGGGATCATATGTTTTGACTGTAAACAATGTACAAACATTTTAAAGGTCATTATCCAGTATTGGTCCCAGCTATCTGTGGTCTTGGGAGGGGGTGGACTGGATTTGGTCCTAGTCTTTGGCATCTTTTTTCTCTTGGCACGAAGTAGCTGCTCTGAGACTCAAAAATGCATTTCCATGCCATAGGATTTGCAAAGAGTACACCATTTACTAATTTCCTGTACTGTTACATCAGATTTGTGGGATTGGCTCTTGATTTTTGGATGCAGGTGGAATAGGCCAGCAGATATAAGCAGGCTTTTTGACCCTTCTGCCTTTGCTTGGTGCCATCGAAGAGGAAGAATAATGTGGAGGTTGCAAAAGCAGCACTGCTTTGGACAGTGTGGGAAGAAAGGAATTGCCAGAATATTCCAAGAGAGGGTGTGAAGCCTACAAGATCTGAAGGAATGTATTCTGTACAGGGCTATAGTGTGGCTAAAATCTCTGGACTTATTTCAGCAGTTCTCTTTGAAGACAAAGATGCACATGAGCTGGGTACCCCCACCTGAAGGTTTCATGAAGTTAAATTTTGATGGTAGTAGTCTGTGCAACCCAGGTCTGTCTGGGATGGGAGGGGTTATAAGGAATGTAAGTGGTTCTGTAGTTCTTCTATTTTCAGGTACTCTAGGTGAGGGGGACTCCACTAGGGCAGAATTGTTAGCTGCACTAGAAGGGGTACAGTTTGTTATACAACTAAGAGTGGAGCAGCTACTAATAGAAGGCGATTCTCAGGTAAACCAGAGGCTGCAGTTTGGTGCTTCAAAAATGAACTTAAAAGATTCAAATGCTTGACGAGGAATTTGTATGTTAGAATACAATGGGTAGGGAGATCTGCCAATGCTATGGCTGATTGTTTAGCCAAGCAAGATGCAATGAGGGAACATCTGTATTGGCATTTGGGCCCAGTTGCGATCGTTTTTAGTTTATGATGGGTTGGAGAGGTTGCAGCTCATGCCTCTCCTAGTGCATTCTGTAATAGTTCCTCTTGGTTTCTTCTATTAATAAATTCTTTCATTTATCAAAAAAAAAAAAAAACTGCATTTCCATGTTTGAAAGCCCAAGATTTTATCCTTAAGCCAAGTAATGGCCCTAATGTACAAACATTTTAGTACATCACTTGTACTAACTTTATGTTCTTTTCCATATATAAATAAAAGTTTTGGTATAGATTCAATGTGTCTAATCCCTACCCTCGGTGGCAATGTTATGTGCTGGTTGTTAAATTTCAAAGAGATGAAAAGCAGTTATGAGCTGATATTGGATATTTGGATTACTTGTCTTAGGTTGGAACTTAGTTCGTTCTGAGTTCTTGGTTGTTGAAAGAACCTCTATCTTCTGGTCAGTTTTAAATTTGTAGGATTTTGTAACTGAGGATTTATGCTGTTATTGATTTTGTAGTCTCCTATTGAGACACATATGTATTTTTTTTCTATCACACCATTTTCTCAGTTATCCTTTCTCTGTGTATTTTTAATATACTTGTCAATATTTTTTTTTTTGTTTACCATAAAAAGTATTATGTAAGAGTTGAGTCCATCTGGCTCTAAAAATCATGGGATGTGGGTTACGATGGATCCGATGACTGGGTACCCGTATACAGGCATGTCGTATACTGAATTATATGATTCTTGAGTAAGCAAGATATGTTTACTAATCTAGTTGCAATCAATTATTTTTTTATTTTTTTTTTGAGAAGTAGATGGAAAAATTTTATTAAAAGAGAAAAAAATGAGAAGACTGATTACAAGCAACAGCCAGGTTTTGAGATAACACCTGCCCAATCACAGAAATAAAACATAATTAAAAGCACAATACAGAGGGAACAAAAGAAAGCCACCCAAAACAAGAGCAATTAAAAATCTTCTTCAAGCATTTCGTCTTGTTCATCTCCTTCCTCATCCCACTCCTAATTATATTTTTATTGTTATATTTTATTTATAATTTATTATTTTATTTTATTCTATTATTGTTTTTTATTAGTTTTTTAATATTCTTTTGTTTTTGCTTATTATTTTAAAATTAATTTATTATTATTTAGTAATTAATATATTAGTATTTTATTATTACTTTAATTATAATATATTAATATTTTATTTGTACTTTATTATTATTATTATCTCATAAATAATATCTTTGTTTTTTATTATGAATTTATTAATATTTTATTCTACTATTTTTTATTTTATGAATATTTTATTACTATCTTAATTATTACTATACTCTGATTTTATTGTTATTGTTATCTTATTATTACTTCCACAATATTTATTATTTAATTGTTAATGTTTTATTATTATTATTTTATTACTTTAATTTATACTTTATTATTGTTATATTTAATAATTAATATCTTTGTTTGTTATTATTAGTATTTTATTAGTATTTTATTATAGTACTATTATTATTACTATTGTACTAATATTTTGTTAATAATTTATTAATTTTTTATTGCGATTGTTATTATCTTGTTATTAAGTTAGTAATATTGTATTATTTCATTAATATTAGGTTCTGGGGGGCTTTTTGTCATCGGGTTTTTAATTCTTCATATACTTTGGAATGGGAATCCCATTCCCTGGAGGGGGGGGGGGGGTTGGAATGGCCATTCCCCCTAGAATGGGAATCGGAATCCCATTCTTCCTGTCAAATAAACGGTTGGAACCGGAATGGGCCATTCCTTTTCCGATCCCAGGCACCCATTCCTGGAAACCAAATGGATCCTTAATATAATGATGGCTCATGGGGTGTCTAGTTTACTCAGGCTGAAAATTCTTCTCTGTGATCATTTGAAGCACCATTAGATCTTGACTGGCAATCAGATGGCTATTGACATCTGTTCAATATGACTGAACCAAAGATATTGAGTCGGTATACATTTGATATTGAGTCAGTATACATTTGACCAAGAAAAAGGTTTTTCCTGGAAAAGTATGTCCACCCTTTGTGAGGTCAAAGTGTTGACTTACTGATGTACTCAGAAAAGAATGGTTAGAATGTAATGTTGTATACACCTGGTAATAAACAGGGATATTGTTGTAGAGGAAGGGATTGGAGTACCTTTCTAAACATTGTCCAAAAATCCTTTGAGTTCACTGAAACTGTGGTTGGTGGTATGGTCATTCAGGTCTTTGTTTGGAAACTACTTTCTTACACTGAAACTGTGGTTGGTGGTATTCTATGGTTTCCCACTACGAATTGCTTAACGAGTTTACCTCTCCATGTAGATTTCATTTTGTTGTTATCTAATGTTTCCTTTTGAAAGAAAAATGTTTGTCCATACCACTATTTTGGTTTTAGTTATTTCTTGGAAGGCTAACATCTGATTTTTAATTTCTTGAGTAAACACCAGATTTTTGTCATTTGATGAACAACCAATTGCTGCTGCATCAATTGCTCAAGTTCACCGTGCATTGTTGAAAGATAATCAGGAAGTAGCCATTAAGGTTTGTTATTTTTTGGGCCCTTATCGAGTCCATTTGGATGATTGTACATAATCTCTTTGTGCAAGGTTGTTCTTATTTGGTATGATTTTCAAAAAAAAAAAAGTTTTTTTTTAATATTTGGAATCAGCATAAGAAAAAGAATTTTCATTTTTTTTTGACTTCTACTGTACATTGTATTTCATATTTTAGTCCTATTTGCAATGTAGGTCTATAACTTTCATTGAGATATTTTAGTTGGCATTTAACAAAATGGCAAAAATATCTCAGTTGATAACGAACAATTTTGTGATCCAAAGCTGCTATTTTTTTGATTGGCAAAAGTGAAACATCATCATCCTTATCCCAACTATATGAGGTTGGCTACATAAATCCTGTTTTACCAATCCATTTTATTTAATGCCATATCAACTGTAGAACATATGGAAATAACAACTTCAGACACTATTTTACTCCTGTGCACAATATGGAAGGGAAAATCAGATCTTTTATTAACAGGAGGGTATGAGCTTCTACAATGTTCACTTAACTGACATGTAGAACATTCCAATGTAGCAACAGACACTGACTTGAACAGGTATGGAAATAACAACTTCAAAGATGCAAAGGACAAAACCCATTGAACAGACTAGTGGGTGTTAGTGGATTACTATTTTACCTTTTGTTCTATTCAACCCATTTTTCAATATTTCAGAAATACCCCTGTTATTATTTGACTCAAAACCCATTTTTCAGCTTCCTTGAAGTACTTTCAAGCAGTACAATGAGAGAAAAATGTCTCCCAACATGTAGAAATCTTACATACAAGGCAGTTGGGCTCTTAAGGGTATTTTAGTCATAAAAATATGTTTAATAAGGCTGACTCTCCCTTCAGGGGCAGTTCGGTCATGAAAATTTCATATATGCTGATGTGGACAGCTTCTGTCAATGAACACTACGGTGCTCTATTGGATGATGAGTTTTAGAAAACAAAAACTCACTGGCATGGGGTTCCCTGGACATTTTGAAAAGTAATGGTGAGTTTAAGGGAAATGCTGAAAAGTCATGGTGAGTTTTAGACAATTTCCCTTTTCTTTTTCTTGCTTCCATGTCATCTCTACTCTCCACCCCTTCCCCTCCACATGTTACCCACCAAGCCAAGTCAGCATCGTCTCCAACCTTCACACAACTCTATAACAGTGCCTCAGCTTCGGTTGCCACCCAAACTTTATGCCAGACACCTTCTACAAGTAAGTCAATTGAGCGAGGAATGGCTTCTACAAGTAAATCAACTATATTCATCGCTTCCAAGACTCCCCTGCAAGCTATTGTGACTTTGTCCAAGATAGACTCAGACCACAAGTTGGACGGAGGGCCCAGAATGTTCGGGGTGATACTTCCCTCCTTAACAGTCTTCTCATTATAGGAAGGATACTAGTTTTCAACATAACCAGACCTTCATTGGTCTCCGAAGTGCAAAAACTGAGTTTAGTTCTCCCCCCCAAGATGACTTTATTCGGTTCGAAAGGCTTGAGTGTAACTGTGTCTTTCAGATCCAGTTTACTTGCAACTGCATTCAGACTCTCTTTCCAATCTTTTTATTTTTGGTAGAGACTACCATTTTTTTGCTCCTAGTTTTCACTTCCTCCTTTTACAGCCATCCTTGGGGGCCATTGTAAGGCATACAAATGTATCTCCAGGTCTATCTTCTCCGCTCTGATTTCTTCCATTTTCTGTAACCTTTCCTCCTGGCTCTCCTGCTGCCTTCCCCCTTCTTCCAGAATCTTGTCAAACCTTTGATCATCAACAAGCCTAATTATATATATTCCTGCAACAGATCGGCTATGGCTTTCCATCCAGAACTGTTTCTAACCTTTTATTATCAACAAGCGTAATTAGATATTCTTGTAACAAATCTGCTATGGCTTTCCATTCAGAACTTTTTCTTCCCTTTGGAAAGCAATCACTTGTCTTTGCCCCTCACCAAACTGTTCTGTTAGCATCAGGAAGCCATCCCTTAAGTTCTTTCTGTGTTCCACCTGGTAAAGCCTGCCTTCCATCTGTTAACTTTCCTAGCCATAACAGTGAAAATGCTCAAAATAGAATTTGGAAGGGTTGTCAAGAATGAATGGATCCTCACCCCAAAGAGCCTCCTTTATATTAATAAGGATGTACAATTACAATAATTCCCTTACGGGGCAGTATACAAAGTACAACAAGGACTATGATAATAAATGTGTTGGTTTCACTGTTTTGGGGTTGATTATTTTGTTTATCTTGGTTTTATGTGAGAGTGTTTCCTCAACACTCTTCATTGTAGTCTGATCATAATATTTTTACCTTTACCTTTTAAAAAGTGTTTTTTCTCCTTTGTTATTAAAATAGCAATAGGGATATTTGCTTCTGCTTCTACTTTCTTTTTATAAAATGATAAAAGGAAAAACCAGGTAAGGATGGCTTCCTTATATGCTCTTTGTATCATGCATTATATTGCTAATTGCTGTGGCACACTGGCATATACTTATTGGAGGAAATCAGGAGATGTTTGGCTGGAATAACCGGTTAATTATGAAAATATCACCAATTTATTCTATGCAAGTTTCTCTCATTGTGACTGCCAGGTACAATACCCAGGTTTAGAGCAACATATGAAAATAGATATTACAACCATGGCTATCCTCTCAAACTGCGTAGCCTGGGTATTTTCCTTATTTCGTTCTTTTCCTTGAGATGGTATTTTCTTTATGTTTTTGTTTTATTTATCATGTCTATCTATGATATACTTCAGATGATAAACGATGACTTCCATTTTTAATCTTTCCTGAGATGTATATGATGCTGATTGTGTTGTTTCCTGAGATATATATGTTATTGATTGTGATGTTTTCTCCCCTGCAAGATTTTGAGTTTTTGAACGTTTGATAGATGTTGAAATAGCAACAGCAATAAGTTCCATTGAGGCATTTAACCTCAAAGCATAAAAATAAAATACTCACAGATTCTGTTACACTTTTGTTTAATGTTCTATTCATCTCTCTTTTGAATCTTTTAGTCATTAGATGTATGCTACATTGACCACACAAGAAAATTGCATCAAGACATTTAGTATTGAACTGTAGAAGTAATACTTGACAGTGAGAGTTCATGCCCTAGTTTATTGTTTGTGAAAGATCTAAGCTTCAAACTTTATGGAGATTAAGAATTACAGTGAGACCAACAAGAATTCTTTGCAAAGGAGATAGAGAAGCAAGGTTTTTCCATGGTGCAAAGATGGAGGAGACAAATAAAGGTAGAAGTGAAGACCTTCCCATTAGGAATCAGGTCCAGAGGCATCCCAACTCTAAAGATAAGAGAATTGAGGATGGAAACAGTGTTGCTGGTAGGTGAAGCTGCTCTAAGTGTCACGGGTTTTCTTGATGGAACAGCATTTACAAAGAAAGTGGTGGACTGGAAAGCAAAGCAGGAAGGAAACAGTGGAAGTAATGTGGGAGTGGAAACAGTGGAAGAAAGTGGTGGACTGGAAGCAAAGCATTTACAAAGAGGATGGAAACAGTGGATGGATGAAGATACATTGCAGGAAGGAGGAAGAATTCTAATGGAAGTAATGTGGGAGTGGTTGAATAATTTGGAAAAGGGAAGAATGAATTGGTTTTCTTCCCAGTGGGTAAAAGAGCATTAGGTTGGGAAGGAACTTCCAAATTATTTCAAGAATACCTGCAGGAATTAATATAATATAAGTTGAGGAAGGAAAAAAAGAGCAAAAGTGAAGAGGGATGTGGAGAATAGAAGAATGATGAAGTGGAGTCTGAATATTGATGTAAGTGCTTGAGAACCTTCTGAGATGGTAGCAGTGAAAGTAACCCAGGACTGTTTGGCATTGGCGGAACTTTTAGGGGTGAAGAGGGGAGAGTCGTTGCTTTGTTTTCTGATCCTATTGTTGTTGGTGACTCAGTCCAGGCTGAGATCTTGGCAGTGATGGAAGGGATAAAGAAGGCTAAGGAGTTGAACTGTAGCAAGCTCATTGTTGAAGGGGATTAAAAAATGGTTATAGGATGGCTGCAAAAGAAGAAAATGGTGTATGGAAGTTTGCTAATGAAAAAAGTGTCAGTGCAGTTCGAAATTGAAAAGTTGAACAGATCTGTGTTGTGTCTAAGTGAGTTGGCCACGCCAAGAGAAAGGTAATATTAATGAAAAGTAAAAGGACAAATCTGCCCCTAGTATACAAGATGTATAATACACAGTGAAAGAATGAAGAAATATGTACAACAAGAAGGGAAATTACAATATTAACCCTCATTTTCCCTATCTCTAGACTCCCCCTCAAACTGATGCAAGATACTAACATCAGTTTGCTCATGAGAAAGGAACGTCTGGCTCCAGTCATACTAATAGCTTTGGTGAGGATGTCTACCAGTTGAAGGTTGGAAGATACATGAAGAACTGAAATGCAGAGCCAGAAGTGAGAAGATCCTTGATAAAGTGACAATCCACTTCAATATGCTTCGTTCTCTCATGGGAAACAGGATTGGAAGCAATCTTGATTGCACAAGATTGTCAGCAAATAGGGGCACTAGAGATGATTGATCAAGATTATGATCCTGTAGGAGAGACTGGAGCCAAATGATTTCACTACATGTTGAGGACATGGCTCAATATTTTGCTCCTCTGGATGATTTAGAAACTGTCTGCTGCTTCTTACATTTCTAGGAGATAAGAGATGCATCCATAAAGATGCACCATCTTGTAGTGGACTGTCTAGTATCTAGACAACCAGCCCAGTAAACATTGACATAGACATAGTTTTCAAGGCGCCAAGGCGAGGCTAGGCGACAGGGGGCGCCTAGTCGCCTAGTTGCCTAGGCGGGCACCTAGGCAACGCCTAGGCAATGAATTTTTTTTAAGTAAAACCATATATCCTATGGTAGTTCCCTAGGTTCCATCTTTCCTTAATAATTATTCATAATTTTCATAAGAAAAGTATAAGTTTTATGTTTAAGTCTAAAAAATCAACATTTTATGAGAAGAAAAATAACAAAGTAAAGAAAATTCAAAAATATAGGGGCTGAACCCCTACTTTTGTTATAGGAAAGAAGAAGAGAAAAGGTGGAAGAAGAAGAAGAAAATGTGTTGATTAGACAAAATTTTAAGTTCTTCCTTTGCTTATAGGTTCAGGTTTTGAAAATTTTGAGGGTTCAATCAAGGATCAAAATTTCGATACGATACGCCCCATATCGGGTGTATTGTATTATATCTTTGGGGTCCCGATACCTGTTTACAGGTGTTTTTGGGGGACCCATTTCTTTAAATAATATATATATATATATATTTAAAAATGAAATTGGAAACCAAAGAAAAAAAAATAGGGGGAGTATCGTTATAAGTACCGATACACCTTTGCCAATACACAAAGGTGTATCAATACTGTGAACCATGGGTTCAATACAGCAGTTAGCAATGTTGCATTGATTAAACCCTAAGAAAATAAGAAAATAATAAAAAGAAATTAGTATATAAACACATAAAATGAATATTCTAGTTTAATAATGTCTATTTTATAATTATAATGTCAAAAAATTAAAAATATAAAAGTATTTTATAACCCAGTGCACAAAACTGCTAGGCGACTGGGCGAGGCATGCCTCCAAGGGCGCCTTGTCGCCTAGGCGTCGCCTTGACAACTATGGACATAGGCTGATATCTGAAGACATGAAGAGGAAGGAAAGAACATGCCATAATAAGCAGTTCCCCCAACATAGCGAATGATACGAAGTACAACTGTCATATGATATTGGCGAGGGGCTGAAACAAACTGGTTGACTATCTGGACAACATAGTCATTGTGAGATAAGTAAGACTCCCCACAAGTTGAGGATAAAAAGTGGCATCCTCTAAGAGTGGATCATCATCCTTGCTCAACTTCAGATTAAGTTCCAACTGTGTATCAACTGTCTTAGTGTCAGTAAGATGAGCAAGCTTAGCCAAGTCAGTGGCATATTTTTGTTGATTAAGAAAGTAGCCACTGGAATTGTAGTGCACTTCGAAGCCCAGAAAGTATGTTACTGGTCCAAGATCCTTCATTTTGAAGGATTGACTAAGAAGAAGTTTCAGCTGATGTGTACCATCTTGGTCATCCTTGGTGATGAGAATATCATCAACATAAAGTAGCAATAGTGTGATACCTTGAGGGCGATGTGAGGTGAAAATAGAGTAGTCTTAGGAGCTTTAAGTGAATGCAGCATTAGTAATATCAGATCTAAATCTCTCAAACAAGGCACGAGGAGCTTGTTTGAGACCATAAAGGGACTTCTTGAGGTGGCAAACAAGATGTGGATCAACACAATAGCCTGGAGGAGATTTCATATAAACTAGCTCCTTTAAATCTCCATGTAGAAAAGCATTTTTGACATCCATCTGATGAATAATCCAACTTTTCACAGCTGAAATAGCAAGGAGGAGATGAATTGTGGTCATCTTGGCAATTGGAGCAAATGCCTCCTCACGGTCAATTCCATACTCTTTCTTGAATTCTTGTGAAACAAATCTAGCCTTGTATCTGTCCAAGCTACCATCAGACTTTAATTTAATTGAATACACCCACCGACTTGCAATGATTGAAGCATTGGGAGGAGTAGAAACTAACTCCCAAGTGTCATTCTCTAAAAGAGCATCAATCTCAGTGTCCATGGCATCTCTCTAGTGTGTGTGAGCAATGGCTTTCTTGTAGGATCTTGGAATATCTGTGACATACAAAGGCCTTTCTTGCATGCGGAATGGCGGTGGAGGAAAGTTTTAGGCTGGCGGGGAGGTGGAGAAAAGATCTGAGCATTGAAACGAAGAGATTCATCTTCGAGCAGGGACGAGCAAGGGGTAAAGAGTACCTGAAAGTCAGGGAAGGTAGCAGGGCTACGATCCTTTTACCAAAGGAAGCCTGTTTCTGGCTGAAAGGCTT